CTGTCCTCTTCTTGATGGTGGTAGTCAAAGGCCATTAGAAAGCACGCTCATGTTTTAGAATGGTCCAGTAAAAGTGCAAAGTGCTCCTTAAAGTAGAGCAGCCAAAGCAAATGAAGCGGATTAGAAGAGCTGCCAACAACTGTGTCAACCTGGACATTTTACTGTGAAACATGTTTGCTGCCCAGATATTGAGCTGTTAGCATAACATACAGCAGTAGTCTTCAGTCAAAGGCCTATTCAGAAGACTGACTGCCATTGAAGATCCTTCCTTTCTGCAGGTGATATGAGTTATGACATATAATTGCATTTACATTTTTGAATTACATTTTTCTCTTTGACTATTTTTGCATCAAATCTTCATCCTTTAGCTACCACCTGCTGTTGTAATGAGACAAACGAGAAGGGATGTGAATACTTTGACAAAGCAATAAAGTCTGTTTGTGTTTTTTTTGTGTCTCTGTGTTTTGGGAACAAGGTTTCTTTGGGAACAAGGATTAACTTTGTTACACAGGTAACAAAGTTAATCAATTTAATCAGAGAAATCAAAGATCAAAGCAGGAATGCTGTTCAGCTTCTGGTATTTGTTCTTGTTTCAGGATGCTGAGGTGGATCTGTATGTGGGTGTGGCCAGGTGTCTGTCTGAGATGTCCGACACAGAGATCGACAGGATCGTTCAGGTGTCAGAGGTCGGTGTGGGGTCAGAGGTCAGTGTGGTGTCAGGAAATGACAGCAATTGCTCTGTGAGTAAATCTGAGTGTTTCTGTGAATCTCAGGCTCAAGTGGAAAAAGCCTGCTTCGTCCTGGCATTCCTCACCTCTCAGGGCAGACTCCCGCTGCTCAGCCTCAATGATGTCATCACTGGCGTGCTCTCTGGTTGGTCAAGCTGCAGACTGGGCTGGATCCTCTTGCAGGCCTTTTACCAGTGCCGGCTGACTGCTGGCACCAGTACAGGTCAGAGTGCAGCTCTGCTAGTAACCGTGGCTCTGCTGTCTAAGTCTGCGTATTGAGCATCACTGCTTCTCCCTACAGGCGTCTCCAAGCGCATGGAGTGGCTGCTGGAGCTGATGGGACACATCCGGAACATCGGCTATGGAGCGACCACCATCGTCTGTAGAGACACCAAGAAAGTAGGGTCCGGGCAGGTCCAGTTAATTCCGGTGCCGCACCGCCTCTTGCCGCACCACACATAAGATTGGTGCTGCTTTTTCACATGTTATATGGAGTGTAAATAGTCTCAAAATATTTGTGCGTGTGTAATACTGCATTTGTAACTCGTGTAAGCATCTTTCTGTGATTTTGGATAGTTGTGTCTGTGAAACATGATTTGTAAACTGTAAAAAGAAAAGAAACCACCTCCTACTCCTGGAAAAGTTGAAAACGTACACACAAGTCGCCAGATGCACATACACAACACTGCATTTACGCACAGATCCGGTTACGAATGCACAAGTATTTTAGAGACTCATTTCACATTAATTCTGAAAGCTATGGAAGTGATCCTCAAATGACCCTCAAAAATACTTGCATACTCGTGACCAGATCTGTGCGTACATGCAACTTTATATGTGTGTATCTGGTGACTCATGCATATGTTGTCAACATTTCTAGGCGTAGGAGGTTTATTTTCTTTATATGGTTTACAAATCATGTTTCACAGACACAACTATCCAAAGTTACACACAAAGATGCTTACACAAGTTACAAATCCAGTATTACACACGAACAGATATTTTTACACACACAGATATTTTAGACTATTTTCATGTTGCTGCATGTCACTGATGACTCAGCATGTGTTGTGCAGGTCATTCTCCAACTAACTCTCAGGAATGACTCAGTTTCTTATTAAGCCAGAAACCAGAAGCCAGAAACCTTTTACAGCTTCTCTTGAGATATGAAATAGCATTTTACAGCAAAATCTTTTAATATTCTGCAACTCAATTTACCTGGAGGCCTAAGTTTGTCAATTGTTTCAACATTTTTTACATTATCAGTATATCTAGATGGGTTTCTGTGGTTTTTAATTTTCAAATTCTATGGTTCCTTATACATACTTGCCTACTGTTTTCCACTGGCTCTTGTTATACCCACAAAGATTTGATATAAAGAAGAGAGAAAGCTGTTTGTGCAAAATCAGTAGAGACAGTATTGACTCAGGAGCCTGAATTCTGATGCATGCCTCACTTTTCAGATTTATGTTCATTATATATGTTCAAATTATTAATGGTTACTATTTTGTGAAAATGTATTGAGTGGATGGTATTTTATTGGCTAAAATCATGTGGCTACTGTTTGGCTGTTTATCTCCAGGCCACTGACTTCCTGTTTCAGCTCTTCGCTGCTGCTGTCATCTCCTGGGGTGACCACTTCATGCCCCTCCTCTTTGGTATCAGGGCCCAATGGTTCCCATGGCAACCAGATTCCAAGCCTCCAGCACTAAAGCACAGTCTGTACGGGTCACTTTCACTCAGTGAGCTTGCTCTGCCGCAGTGCATGCTGGGAGTGTCACACAGCCTGCTGTTGCTGCTAGACAAAGAGCCATGGAGCAGCCAGACACACAAGGTGAGAGGTGAAAGATCAGGTGGCTTACTGCTTACTGCTGGCTTTAGGTTATAGGTCCAACAGGTGTGTGTGTGTGTGTGTGTGTGTGTGTGTGTGTGTGTGTGTGTGTGTGTGTGTGTGTGTGTGTGTGTGTGTGTGTGTGTGTGCGTGTGTGTGTGTGTGTGTGTGTGTGTGTGTGTGTGTGTGTTTCAGTTCATTGACTGGCTCCTCAGTATAACAGAAGGTCCTGAAGAGAATCTGTCAGCGGTCACCATCAGCACAGCCAGAGGTGCAGCACTTTTCATTCCTCCACCTGTTCACGGCTCAGGTCTTCTGCAGCCGCTTCTGTACAGTTAGTTAGTTTATTCTTCCTGATGCACTCACATTTGTTTGAAAAAGTGAGTGAAAGTAAACAGACATAACTCAAACAGAAGAGTCATTGCAAACATTTTTCCCTTATTTTTACATTTAGAAAAAATAAATGTTTAAGTATATGCTCTATTTGACTTTTCCTTTTCAAATTACACTGACAGCTTTTCCCTTATGGCTGTAGGATTTTTTTTTCCTTTTTGTGATTCTGAAACAAATGTCTCAAGTGGGTGATTTTTATCGTAGGCTGACTCGTTGGTATTAGAACTGCCTTGGACCGGAACAAGTAGGAGTGTAACAAACACTCAGCTCAGATACTAGCTTCAGGAGAGCAAGACCAGACTCTCGGTTTTTGATTCTCACAATGTTAGAAAATCTTGTGATGACAATAATATAGATAAAAATTCCGACGATCAAATCAGGTGTGAAATCTGGTTGTTTTCTTCCTTCCAGGAAGCTCTACTGTGAGCTTCCTGCTCTATCACTTCTACCTCTTAGAGTCAATATAGAGGGTTTTTTTTACTGGTAGTCGGCTTTAGTGTGGGAAATAGAATCTTACAATCTTGCATTTGTTGCAGCACCACCTTATCGACTACTTTGTCATGACCGTCAAACTAAAATACAACATAAACCTCAATGAGATGGTGCAATTAATACAATAAAGACATAACAAATTATGTATAACATATAAACATACCGTGCTGGCTGACCCTTCTTTAAAGGTTGAAATGAAGTCCATATGACTAATCTCCAGTATTCATTACACTGTTTACCACTTATTCTCCTCATACCTCACCAGAGGGGTGCATCTCTCTAAGGAGCCGCAGGGGGACAAACATCCTGAATATTAGTTCCTACTTACAACTTGCCAAAATAAATGTCAAAATATCACAAAGAAAATGTCCTAATGCAAAATAAACACATGAACTAACCTTTAGCCAGGGGCGCAACTACATGCTTTCTGAGGTGTATGCGAACATGTCAGGTTTCCATGGGAATCACCTAAAAGAACATCAGTTGGACCTTCCTGATAAAAATAGTGATTTGTAATGTTAGAACAGTGAGTTTTAGAATGGTTTACTCATTCTGGTGTCCATCCATGTTCTGACCTGGTTCCAGCTGCTCTCCTGGGTCTGAAGTCGTCCACCGAGTTCAAGAAGAAAGCCGTGTGGACCAGAGCTTATGGCTGGTAGCTCACAGAATCCAAGGCGGGGTGTTACCATGGTAACATTTGTACATATCATCTGTCCTACTTGGTGAAAGAAATTTGAGTGGAAACTGCTGCTGCTGTTCTTTGTTCAGTCAGAAACATGTCTTCATTAAACTGCTGCAAAAATCTGGCATTTCTTTTTTTTTCTTTTGTGCAATCTGAAATGTTCGGTTTGAAAACAGTCATCCCATTGTCCCTGAAGAATCCAGTCATTTCTTCTTCTTCCTCTTGTAGAGTTTCTCCAGATGGTGTTTCCTCTCCTTTAGCAGCTGCCAGACTGTTACCGAGTCTCCTACAGGAAACACCAACACATCTACCGTTAGAAAGGCTGCCTCAGGGTTTTATCTCTAACTCTTTTTCTGATCAAATACTTTTTATTGTATTTTTATGTTTACAACATAAAGCCAGACACGTGCAGGGGGGTGAGGGGCAAAGGGGGCTTGAGCACCTGCCCATTTTATCCTTGATGCCCCAAGTGCTGACGGGATCTGAGCTGGAGGTGAGCGGCTGTAAATAGAAGTTACTGCAGAACCTCAAGTGTTAAAGGAAGATTCAGGCCAGAGTATTAAGAGTTCACACAAGAAAAACATAATTGTGGAGGGAAACATAGACTTGCATATGGAGGATGTGAATTAAGGAAGAAGACAAAAGAAATCATACAGATTAAAATTACCAAAAACATAAGCTTCGCAAAAACAGTTAAAAATGTGAAGGAACAGAAAACAAGAAAGATTGAACAAACGGTGAGTCAAATTCCACAGCAAAGCAAAGCAAAGTACAGTCAGAAGAAAATGTCACAATGTCAGTAGAAAAACTGATAGCTGGTATATTCATAGCATATTCGTATGCTATGAATATGCTATTATTCATAGCATATGTTATCAATTGCTCTGACCAAGCCAAGCATAAAACTGAGAAGATTAAAATAATAGTGAGAGGAGCTGAGAAGTTTTTGGGATTTAAAGAGGGATCATGGGAGGACATAAGGAAAATGTTGGAGGTAGATGGGAGACCAGGACCATCAGGTGAAAGTAATTCAATTTAATCTTACAATGGAATGCAAGAAGTTTAATTGCCAACCGACAGAAGCTTAAAGGCTATATCGATAGTTTTGAAGAACAACCAGAAATTATTTGTGTTAGGAAAACATGGTTAAAACAACTTTAGATGTTGTGATCAAAGGACATGATGGTGTAAGGAGATCGACAGGAGGGAGGTGTGGGAGGATGTGGAATATTTATAAAACAAGGGATACAATACCAAGTATTAGGGAAATAACTTTAATATATAGTAATTGAGATATGGGAAAAAAACGGTAAAAAGAAGGTAAATTTAAAATAATACAGTTTTATAATCCATGTAAAACATTATAAATTGAAATAATGGAGGAGTTAAATGAATATTTGGAAGGGGAAGTAAGTTGGTGTGGGGATTTCAATGCAAATAGTACATTATGGGGTAAATGTAATGATAAAAATTGACAATTTATAGAAGAACTAATGGAAATAAAAAATCTTGTATGTATTAATAATGGGAGGGGAACAGGAATCAATGTAAGAACAGGGATGGAATTAGTTATTGATTTAATTGTGAATGGTTCATTGATAAAAATTTGACAATAGGTCGTGATCATTATCCCATCACAATAACAGTAGGATGAACGTTAAATAATAAGAATATAAAGGTCAGTAAGAAACTGAATTTTAACAAGGTAGTCTGGATTAAATTTAGATATTTGAGTCAAACTTAGGAAAAGTGAATATAAGAATGGATATAAATGATGTAAATTTAAAAATTTGTAAGATAATAATGGAAACAACAGATAATTCAAGAAAAAAAAGGTGACAAATTAAAATGTAGAGTAAGTTATATAGTTATATATCACGAACCACACTCCATACCAGTAAGTGGCGGTAATGTTACTGGCGGTTTGTTGCCAACCGCCAGTAAACTTGACAAGAAGAAGACAGTGTAACGACAGCAATGTGTTGCTAACTGAATCTTTTTTAGAGTGAAGCTGTGCGTGTGGACCCTATGACGTAGAAGCCGAAGGGGCAACATGACAGCGAACGAGGATCAGGAGGTATGAAGCAGCTGGAGGCTAGCTGCTGCTCGCAGCTAGCTGCTAAAACTGTACAAATACATTGGAGCATCAGAAAAGCAAACGGGCTAGCTGTTAGCAAAGCTCTGCTGATTAGAACAACCAGAATAGGTCTACCACAGGACGTCTCACCTTTGTTAGCAGATTGCTACTGGGATTAACTGTAATTCTATATCTACAGAAACATGAGTCGTGTTTCAACATTATTATTCTGCAACATTGTGGTTCTATTTTAGTAAAAAGTCACATTTTCAAATGATCTGCTCTGCTGCCGATATGATGTAAAAATTATTGTCCTTTTTTTCTCCAAGATGGAGCTGGAAGCTCTTCGCTCCATCTATGAAGGGGATGAATGCTTCAAGGAGATAAGTCCAGTTTCCTTCCAGTTCAGGGTGGGTACCATCCTCTGCTTTGTTCCCTTCATTGCTCCTGCACTCACAGTGACTCAAATGTACTGTATAGGCTCTGCAACTTTAGTTCTAGTCCTAGCAATTCAGAACATAATCAGATTATTGTTCAGCATGTTTGGATGTATATTAGTTATTGTGCTTCAAGAAGCAAAAATGGTTAGCAATATTCACTCGTTTATTGTTTAAATTTTGTTTTGACTAACTAGCAACATTGTATGTGCTGCAGAAGAAACAGACTTATGGGTGCACCAATGACAGCTTTCTGGCTGATCACTGACCTTTGAAAAGCTTGACTTGTCAATTTTTGATTTTGATTTTTTTTTTTTGTCTGAAAAGTAGCTAAATATTTTGGCAAAGTCACTAATATTGTAACAGTGGGGTGACTGTGGTTAACCACAGACGTCAGCCCTGCCTCAAGGCAGAGCAGAAGAGAACAGTGGCTGACGTTCAGACCATTGCAGAGAGCAAGAACTGATGGATAAGATCAGTTTCACATGTAAGTATCAACTGACCTCCTAAAATCAAGGAAATCAGGGCCAGTTTATCGGTGCATCCCTAAATAAATGTTCTTGAAATCATTGCTGTCTTTTCTTAGTAATGGTTGCTTCCAAAGAAAAGTGTGCATCATTGCTTTGCATCAAAGTGACCTAACTTGTAAGAAATCTCGTGGTGAGAAGTAAAGAAGACGTCCAAGAGTGCATCCACTGGCGAACCAAAGCGTCTCAAAGATCAGAACCATGGATTTACTCCAAATGTTAATGTGCATTATATGCAATATGTATACATTTTTAGTTCTTTTATTCTTCAGTATACCAACACAATTTGTGAACATAGTGTATGGTGGAGCCACAAAATACAACGTTTGTTCCAGTTTAGAAACCTTTGGTTTAGACAGACAAATCATAGCAAAATAGTTGAAATTTATGTGGTCCATTTTCTGATTATTACCTTTGGTCTTTTGGTTTTGGTTGAACAGGTTGGAGACCTTGAGGACACAAAAGCATTTATCTTGGACATCAGCTGGCCGGACACGTATCCAGAGACGGCGCCACAAATCTCCCTGGATGCCTTTTTCAACAACAGGATGTAAGCTGCAAGTAGTGGGGTTCAGTCAAAGTAAACCGCTTTGATGGTAGCCATGTTCATGTTCTACCATGGAACTGCTCTGAGCAGTTCAACCAGTAGATGGACTGTTGACATCACTCTCTTCTACTCATACCTACTGGTCAGGGTGCTTCCATGTCACACTCACTTCAGATCTTTATTTATCATTTATTTTAAAACCACTCATCATGCTCCTTCCACTTGTCAGTTAATCACTATCCATTGGTTTGCCACATAAAATCCTAGTAAAGTTCTGTAGGAGACAGTCTGCTGTGTTTTGTTTGTGCCAACAGCTCTGCAGAGACGAAGCACCTCATCCTGTCGAAGCTGGAGCAGCAGGTGGAGGTCAGCCTGGGTTCTGCCATGATGTTCACTCTGTTTGAGTGGGCAAAGGAGAACCAGGAGGAACTCATGGAGAACCACAGGCCTGTTGTGACTGCTGTGGTCAGTGTGCTTAAACTTCATCCTTCTGCAGTTTTCCTAAGCGTGACTGCAGCAGAGATTGTGTTCCAGTATAAACCTGCTCACCTACTCGAGATGTTTGAATTTTTATAAAACAATTTTGAGTTGCAAGGCAGTTTTGGAAGCAGATAATATTTTCCCAACCTTGCTTTTTGTTGCAGTTTGTTTTGTTTTTTTCAAACGTCATATGATATAAGATTCAGAATAAAATGTGTTGGAGTTTTATAAAAATAGCACATTAATATTTATGTGTGCAGCAGACCTTGACATCCAACACTGAGGTGATGACTCCCTCTGCAGCAAAGAAGAGAGAGAAGAAGGAGCAGCTGACAAAAGCACAGAAAAGAAGAATGATCAACAGAACAGGTGGCATATTCTCTCATGTTTTATATGGGAATGAATAATAATGCAACAAGCAACAGGTGAAGCCAGTTCTGAGCAGCTCTAAAATGATGTAGTGCATAAAAATGCAACTACAGATAAAAATCAGAAAAGTGTGTTGTCTGTTTGTATTCAGCATTAGTGGGTCTTTCTTTACACATCCACAGACTGAAATCTTTACTTGTTTTCTTTGTGAAATAACTCGAAAAGTCAGATTGGATGAAAAGAATCTGTTGCACCATTTCTCAGTTCCTGCCACAGATTCTCAGTTGGATTTATGCAAGTCTGGACTTGGGCTAAGCCATTCTAACATATGTACACATTTTGATGTAAACCATTACAGCTTGAATCATGGACAGCATCACCGTTTGTTGTCCTGACAATTGGAGTCCCACCAGAGCTGTAGATCTCTGCAGCTGCTCTAGAACTGCCATGAGTTTATGTAGTTGAGAAATGCATCAGTAGGTTTGTAAAGTGGCAAAATGCAATTAATATGGAATAATACTATAACAATGATAATGATACATTCCCACTTCTGCTTATGCTGTATTCAGTGTCAAACAAAACAAGTCATATTGTTTTGGAAGGCAGACTGAAGGTGAACAAAACAACATCCATTCAGACCTTTTCCCCGACACTTAACTGTAGTTTAGGGTTTAAGCTATACAATAAAGGTAATAGTAATTTTTCACATATTTCCTATTATATAAATATTCTCTACTCCACTCCTAAAGTATTCTTGATGCTTTCAGACAATAAAGGGGAGCTGCCAAGAGGCTGGAACTGGGTTGATGTGATTAAGGTATGTACAGTACCGTATTTCTCCACTAGATGGCCAAACTGAAGACTTTTTGAGCTCTCATTTATGTTGACTTTTTCTGTTCTGTTCCTTTTAAAATGTCTGCTTGACCAACCTCCAGCATGTAAGTACAACTAGTTTCTTGACCGATTATATTTTCATAATTGACCTCATTATTTTCCCTCATGAACAGCTGAGTAAAACTGGAGGAAAGGATGATGACTAGAGCAGAAGCTGTCACACGCTTGAACTCCAAACTTGCTGCTGCTGCTGCAGCTGTGCTGCAGATATCTTCACAGTCAGCTGCTGCTGCCTTAAACACACCCCATCATTGGTGTTCCCACTCCGGTCAGCTCAGCAGGGTGTTCGTCCTCCATCTGGGCGGAGCTTCACCTGCTCACACTTGCCATCACTGCCATGTTCAGTCTCACGTTACTCACTGAACACATTGATGTTGGTTCTAAACTAGTGTTCTGCTGTTACTTTGAGGTGCTGTGTGACTTTCTTACAGAATAGACATTTTTAACGCAACAGAAAATATTACTGATCATTTACGTTTTCTTTATAAATTGTGAATCTGGAAATGTTTATATATATATATAAATAAACCCACATTTTGTCAACTGCTTGTTCATTTTTAAAGACAGACTCACTGCTAGTGCAGTTTTGCTTAATAGCATAGAAATGTTGCCTTTATTGCCCCACACTGGGGAAACTCGGGTGTAACAGCAGCATTGAGGTACGTAGGTTCTCACAAAAATTCAAAAAGTGTTAAAAATATATCAAAATTCAGAATTTATATACTGTACAATATTAATAGAAAAACTCTATAGTTCTCAAAAATGGAAACCGTGTACTTTGACCCAAGAGATGTGCATCTGCGTATAACATTTTATAAATGTACATAATTTTCATGTGTAATGGATATTAAAAAGTAAACACATTGTTTATAATGCAATATATCAGTGTAGCAGCTGCTGGGAGGAAGGATTTATGATGACACTCTTTAGTGCGCCCAGGATACAGTAGTCTGTCACTGAAGGAACTCTCCAGTTCAGCAACAGCTTTATGCATGGAGTGGGAGACATCAGTGATGTTATTTTAGACAGCTGTTAAAATACAAACACTACAACATGTTTCTCATTAAAACTTCCCAATTTAAAGATTTTAAATCTGACTAATGTAAGTTTTTTGCTTAATGTTTTATCTTTCATAAATTACAACAAACATTAAGTTTTTGGCAACAAAACTGATTTTGTGTTTGTTGCTTTGTAGAGTGATCAGATGAATTTTGTGTTTATTTTACAAAGCTCTAGTTTTGGGGAACACAAGACCTTTATTCAATGTTCTGATGTGTTAATGAAATCAGCTCTTCTGTTTCTTGTGCATTCTGGTCTGTCTGGTTCTGCTAGAGGTTTGCTTCCTGTTAACCCTCCTGCGGTCTTTGGAAGAGTGTGACAAAATGTTAAGGTTGGACAGGAGGGAAGCAGGAGGTTGTCCTGTCAGACCATTAGTTTCTGAGACCACACAGAAAACAACCTCGAAAAGCACAGAGAAAAAAAACTAGCAGGATCCAAATTAAGACCATGGGAGGTTGCTCCCTGCATGCTCTCAAGGAGGGATTGCTGCCAACACAAAGCAAGTGATTGTCACTATGTTCTTCCTGAAGGAATGAATGCTGCAGGTCAATGACTCACAGCTTTACTGGGTTTTCTTAGAAACCTTTTAAACTAATTTGAATAATAAACTGAGCTTAATGTACTGCTTAATAAGTATTAATTGAAATTGATATTATTTCAATTCAGTCATAATGAAATAACAGTCTTTAAAGTGTCACATTTGTTGTGAATTGAGGCTATATGGATAAACTAAATTGTAAGAGCATATGGCATAGAAGTAAAAAAAAATGTTACAGTATAAAAGTAAGATTTATTCTTTCACCCTTCTCAGAATTGATATGATTAAAATGTCAAAATCAATCCCCTCAAAACATTTATCTCTGAAAGTTTTAAAAGCAAATGGGAACCTAATCAAATACTCTATTGAAACTAGAGAAAAAAAAATACTTATCAAAAGATGAACAAAACTGTATTTAAGTTATAGGTCATAGGAGGTAATTGACCCCAACATGCTTCAGCAGCACAGTTTCAGTATTCTAGGAGAATGGTTCCTCTAGGAGTTTTCCCAGCAAATGAAAAGTGAATGGTAAGTTTGTAACCACTGATTGTTTTAATGGGTATAAAACAAAAATACATAATAGTGAAAACACAATTTTACATCAATCTTTTCCCAAATGAAATTCTGGGTCTCTGATGAACATACTTAACTTTTAAGGCTATCTTTTAGAATTCATCAATGTATGAAGAGAGTTCAACACACATTCTGATCAGGCAGAACTAATCAAAAAATCCTCAAAGAAAAAAAATGCAGCCAAAACTTAATAACTGGATTATTTTTCTTCACAGGAATCTCGTCAAGAGCAACAAGGTTTAAGTAAGTCTAAGGAAGTTTTCATTGTCTTCATACTTTATTCAAATTAAAACAAATCTTGAATCTAAAATAAATCTTAGAAACAGCAATTGCGTGGAAGAGGGCAGCTTCATATGAAGCAGCTTGGCTCCCAGCAGCCTGCAGGAACCAGTTCATTTGTCCAAGTTCTTAATTTCCAAGTGCTGCAGCTAATTATTCATTTGTGCTCCTATAGCAGCACCTGTTCTTTCCTCAGGATGGAGACGCGCTCCAGGTGAGTCACTACCTGGACCTGCGATCTTTTCTGTTCTTGTCTAGGCTTTTGTCCATTGTCTTTTCATTGTCTCCTCTGCATTTGGGACAGTACCACTTTCCCTTAGGTTTGTAGGTGAGACCAACACAAGAGAAGTGGAACCACTCAATGTGGCACTGGTCGTTATCGCAGCCGATCATCTCCCCGTAGGAGACCTGCTCACACAGACAGTAGGTGGGCTCATTGGGGTCGATGGTGAAGTCCACTGGCGAGGCGTCTCGATCCTGCTTGGATTTGCGTTTTTTCTTCTTTGAAGACTTGGACTTCTTTTCTCGTGGTGGGGGCAGGGGCAGTTCATCCACTGGATCATCCACCAGGGAGCCATTGGCAGACAGGTGGGTGGAGTCGCGGCTCTCGCTGTTCCGCTGGCGTCTGGGGCGCCGGTTGGATGTGCGTTCAGCGGCCAGCGACTCCTGTATGTTGGACCGTCGCTCCGTGTTAAGCCGATCGGCTTCGCTGGGCTCCTGGAGGCAGAGGGAGTGAGAGTCCATCTGGCGGGAACGGTTTTCCACCAGCTCGGTCATCTGAGTCACTACGTGGATTTTCTCGTCTCCCAGCTCCTGGCTGAGGATCAGCGCTCTCTGCAGTTGGATCTGCAGCCGCTTTCTCTGAGCCGAGTCTTGTTCACCTTTGTATTTCTCAAACACTTCATCCACCTCCTTCAGCACCTCTGCAAAGGACAAGTACACAAATTAATGTGAATGCTTGAACACCTTACCAGGTTTACAGTAGTTTATTAGGGATCTAGCCAAAACAAAAAAATTTGAAAATAACGATAACATTTATCCTAAGAAATTGAGCTCAATGGGACAAATCCCAGCTGGACCACTGAAGGGAAATGAGAATCAAGCAGAATTGCATAGAAGAGCAATGGTCAGAACAGACCATCTCCAACAATGTACCTGGTACCTCCTTAGCTATAAAGTCAGCTACGTGGGTCTTGTTAAGTAAGAAGGGTGTTTATTTTTATAACAATATTCAACCTCCAAAATCTGAATTTACAGAATAACAAACCACACCTTTCACTCTGACCAAGACTGTTAAACACCTTTATCACTCTAGACTAAATTAAAAGTTTTCAGCTGTTCCAAACTGTAAATTTTCTTATGTAAATATTTCATTTACAGTTCAGTAAATATTCTAGAGGCAACACTTGACACATCAGAGGTCTTTATTGGTTGCCACAGAAAGTGGAACTGTGGGAATCAACAGATGGAAGAACCGTTTCAGGGGATTTTCTCCAGATTCATCCACACGGGACAACTAGAAGCTGGACTTTATCAGTAAGAACGGTCAGATAAAGAAGGAGGGCTGAGCAGCAACGAATTCCCCGCCTACAGGAAATGACGGTACCCAGATGCTGTGAGGGGGTAGGGGCTGTTTAGGAGAAGACAGTTGGAAATGTTCAAGTCCTGGCATGTGCGGGGGGACAGGGGCAACAGGGACTTGAGCCCCTGAACCCTTTATTCTTGACGACCCTAGTGCCCTTTTGGAGGGTTTTTTTTATATTCTTTTTTTTTTTTAAAGTTGTATTTGTGTGTCAGAAGGCCTGTTTGTATCCTTCAGCAATAATATTTAGCTAAATATAATGATCAAAATAAACTAGTCTGGCTGCCTTCAGTCTAATAATAACTCAGTTTCTCTGCCTCCATGTTGTTCTGACTACCGGTCCACGTTGAGCAGGAGGAGGTTAGATCTGTACCCTCCATCAAATATTCACACCAATGTAGGAATATTTTGTTCATTTTTAAACCTGTTCAAATTTTAAACCTGATAAAATGATGTAAAAACACTACTTAAATGAATAACAATGGTATTTTAAAACCAATCTAAACTTAATATTTAACTATTAAAATCCCTTTTTTAATTCCTAGCCGCACCGACACTGTTGATAGTGTTGCTGCAGTCTCTTGTTGCAAACCTTGAAGGATCTTAGCTCCCTCCAGTCTGCTCTGTCCCTTCTTCACTGTTGTGTCTCTGTCCATTCTGTTGTTCAGATGAACACTGAGGTGTTTATATTCTTCAACCACCTCCACTTGGGAGAAGAATTTCTCAGTCCTGATTCAGTCCTGTTCCTCCTGAAATTAACAATTGTCTCCTTTGTTCTCCGGCTTCCTGGCTACAGTCTGAATTCATGACTGTTAGGTCAACTGGTTTCTAAATTCTCCTTAGGTGTCAATGAAAAATTAATTTTAAGAATAAAATAGCAAAAATAAAGTCTTGGGTTTGAATCCCGACCTGGGTTCTTTATGCATGGGGTTTGCATGTTCTCCATGTGCATGAGTGGGTTTACTCTGGGTGCTCCAGTTTCCTCCCACAGTACAAAAAGATTTTGTGCACATTAGATAATAGATGGATGATGGAATTTTTTTTTAACTTGTTTCTATTATTAGTAATAATAGCAATATTAATATGAATATTGATATAAACATATGTTAATATACAATTAATTATATAACATGTAACTAACATGATACTTATTAATATAATAATTATTATATTGCTAAGTACTATACTAAAATGAGTCTAATAAATCATAATTATTGTTAAAAAATAATTTGTATCAATATAATAAACAATAATAATTAGTATTATTTACATTGATAATTGTTATTGCTATTGATGAGAGTATTAAAAATATAATATAAAGTTATTATAATTTATTTAACATAGTTATTATTATTGTTTGATAATAATAATGGGAATACTAATAATGGTAATAATATCGCCACACAAAAAAACTGACTATTCAGTCCATTACAGTTTTATGGCTTGATGTTTATTTTGCGATTATTAATAAGTGATCTCTGTGCTAGATTAGCTACCACTGCTGCCGCTCTA